GGGGGGGGGGGGGGGGTGATGATTTGCAGCTGGAGGAGCCGACCCAACAGAGAGGTGAAGACTCTCAGAGGTTGTCACGAGGAATGAAGGCAAGAAGGGAGAGAATCAACGGGAAGTTTCATCTCCGGCCTAAACAACTGTCATCTGAGAATGAGGCGCTATCTACCACCCACCCTAAGGATATTAATTGGCTTCGCCTGAACTAGACTGTGTACGATGCGGCTCTTCCGTTGAAGTCTCAAGCTCCCAGAGTGAGTTCGTTTGAGGCGAAAACACGAAGGCGCATCGCTCACCTTCAGGGCAAGATCGAAGAGGCGGGGAAGCAGGCATCGCGCATCCAATGGGTGATTGATTTCATCAACAGTGGTAAAGCATTCACTATCTACGTTCATAAAATCTCTTCAAATTTGCGCTACCATCATCACACGTTGAATAAAGCTATCCTCCTTGTAAGTGAAAAGAAATTTGTTGAAAAGTGCGCGTTGGAGGGACCACGAAGCGGTCTTTGGAGAAGTGGTTAAGTCGGGTGGTTGACAATTCTGACTTCCTGTCCGAATTCGAGCGAGCTGTGGATTTCAGTTGTGGAGTTCTGTCAGGTGCATCGTAGACAGCTTTCGGAATTCGCACCAGTCACGCAGAAAGAGGTCCAAGCTCTATACCGGGGCATGAAGAACCATGCCGCTACGGAGCCCCGTGGCATCAACGCCTTCTGGTGGAAAAGATTTACCTCTGTGCATGGCTATCTACCTCCGATATTCGCGGCATTCATCGAGGGCATTGAGCCTCTTCCTGAATGATTGGTGGAGAGAAGGAGTATGTTGCTCCCGAAAAAGAGGCACTTCTCCGATTTGGAGAATTATCGATCGATCACGTACATGAATACTTTATATAAGTTCTTCACAGGCATCTTGAATGAGCGTATCATCCATGATATACAACCTGAATACTGTATTGTGTTACTACTGCATAGAGTTCCACTTTTTCGCAGGTACATGAAACATATCCTATTTTTTGTGGTACTTGCCGAGTTCACTATTCGGAACAGTAGTGGGGGTGAAATGGTTGCTTTTGCGCACGAGGGTGCGAAAAACAACCGCTTTACCTGCACTAAACCGTTTCGAAAAGTGTACCTTTCAGGCAGATATGACAAGATATTGATTTTGAATTGCATCCAGAATTCATTCGTTAAGAACCCTTGTATCATATTTAATACAATTCCAATCAGTTGATGGCGGATATTGGCACCTCCGCCTTCGCAAATCAGATTTTATCCATCAGAAATTTTGTTCTAGTATTCGCGGTATTACTGATTAATGTAAATGGAGGGTTGGTCGCAATAATTTTTCCATTCCATCATCATTGTAGTGAAATGTTCATCTCAATCGATAATACGTAAAAGTTGAAGAATTTTCCTCCTTTCTTTCATTCTTGGATTATCCTTCATAATACTCCCTGTTGATCTGACTTTCTCCCGTTGCTTATGCAAAATCATAAAATTTAACAACATAACCACTAGGTTTCTTTGTAATTGCCATCTGGGGATGGAATGCAGCAAGGGTTCTACGAAGTGTAGCATGACGGCTGACACTTTGGCGCAAAATCTGCAATACATTTTTCAATATAGATTCCCGACGTACGTCGACAGTCAATTTTCTCCGCTATCTGCAGGGAACATGATCAAAGAGATTTGAGATTGAAATGTGTTCAGTGCAAAATTTTCATTCCTGTTAATTAATTGTAAATTATGATAGCAAATACGAGAAAATTGGATAAATATAATTCAAAAGGGAACTTTCAGGTATCAATTGAGGTGAGTTAACAGTTGGAAAAAGTACTGATGACGAAAACTCTACTATAACTGGACTAGAATTAAAATGAAGAAAGAGTGTAACTTTGCAAAGGCCGTCTTTGACTCACCGTCACTCCGGTACTTGACCAGCTGTTGATAAACTTGTTTCATTCTTTCAATGTTGGTCCTTGAACTTTGGCCGTGGTTCACCATTGGTAATGGATAATGTCGTCCAACGATGCACTTTGCCGCACGCTGAATACTCAGAGGTGCTATCCAGGGCTCATGGATGTAACGCGTAGGGAAGTTTTTAAGAATCGGTAAATATCGTCTGTCAAAATAAAGTTTTTTCATGTTCATTATAAATAAGAGAATAATGTAATGTGAATACTATTAGTGACACAGTTTATAGAAAAGAAATTTCGAAGAAAAATTACTTTTAAATAATTCCTAGGAACGGATCGGCTACTTCACAATGTTTGGAAATAGTTGGGATTTCAGGTGAACCATAGGTGGTGATATCATGACTGTCTGTCCTTGGTGCACAATATACTCTTCTCAAAGTGGATGATGGAAAAAAATAATCGTCGAAACTTGAACCTGTTTGTTAGCAATAAGGGTAATTTGTCGGCGGAAGATAATTTTTTCATCACATTGTGGACAATGTGATAAAAAGGCATTTCCATAAAAAGGCATTTTAGTTCGTTTAGTTTATGCATTAAGCGGGTCAAGAAAATCTCTTCTGACTCGTGTAATTGCAGTCCTCGACGTCTCCTCGGACTTCAACCTTCACACACTTCCAATAGTTTTTTCGTCCAGGCGGGTGGAAGTATACATTTTTTAACCGGACAAGAATGATCACCAGCTCTTTTAACACGATAAACACCAATTTACACGCGATAATCGATAGGTACTATTTTCTTAAAAATTATCATAATGAATGATTAATATTTTTAATGATATGTGAATTTTAAATCGTGAATGGAATATATATTTCATTAATAAAACTTCTTCAACCTTGAGAGCATCACTACGAGTGACGTGATGGGAATCTGAAGAACATGAAACGGGGAATCCAAGGAATCCAATGGGGACACATGAATTAAGACAACCGGGATGAATTCGACGTCAGAAATACATATCGTTATCAAGAAGGGCAAGGATATCAGAATGACTCTGGAGGAACGGATTAAGAATCCCAGAAGACAGGAAATTAAAAAATCCAGGACTTCAATGATGGCTCAGGAACGAGTATTGCAGTGCTGCATCAAAATCCAGTATAACAGGATGAAGGAATGGATTTCCAGGAATAGATTTTAAGGAACTTGAGATTTTTTTAATTAGAAAATATTGCCAAGATTATTTCAATTCAAAGAATTGACTCTGACAGTTCAGAACATCTTTTCACGGGAAAAGTTTTCATTCTTGAAGTTCAATTTTATATCATAAACGATATTCTATTATTTTCATATGTAATCCCAGTTAATGGGATCCAACTGAACATAAATAATCTATTTAGTTCGGTTATTAATCAAATACTCCCACACACATGCACACATACTCGTTCCGCTTGCATGCATCTATGGCCTACTCACAGCTGATCTGATCTCTCACCTAAGATGAGCGATGACTTTTGATCTTTGGCACCTGAAGCGCCACGTGATGGACATGTGTCATGTACCCAATATCAACACTCCAATTTTAATAGGGTGACGTTCACACCTCTCCATTATCGCCACCTCCTACCTCGTGGGCTATTAATCGCTCTCATTTGCAATTTCTTCTTCGCATCATTCACACGTGGCTTTCGCTTTTCCTTTATTACTTTACTCTCGTAAAAACTATTGTTCTTCGCTTTATTTATGACAAGTGGATACAGTGACTTTTATTGTGATTAAATTGACTTATTTGACCAACGTAAAATGTTCTTGATTTATAGACCCTCGAACTCCTCTCCTTAAACATCCTCTGTTTTTTTCTGCTCATCGCTCAATGTTCCCATCATAACAAGGCATCGAACATTTTGGTTCTTGCAGCCGGATCGGTGGAATGTTTTTTGATTTGTTTTGTGTGTATGTGGGCGTATGCATGTATGGATCAGTCCAAAGCAATTGATAATGTTTAGATGGACAGTTGTCAATCTATACGTCCTGCTCTCGAAATCCAGTCCACTTTGAAGATACAAGAAGAAGAAGCAAGAAAGGTATAATACTCTGGTTCGTTCTGCCTCTTCTGGGGATCATTACCTTGCCTCGTGTAATGATTTTAAGAGCCTGACGCCCATCGCTAGAAAGGGAGTAGTTGAACGGCTCTATGTCCGTTACTGCTGTACGAGGAAACACAGCCTCAAGGTGGGCCAGATCACCTGCAGATGCCATCACTGGAAGGAGAGGCCCTATTTTATTCTCCACCTTGGGCATAAGAATCGTCAAGCGCCATCTGCGACTCCGTCTCGTAGTCCTCCTCGACACAGTCCCACGAAACCTCACATTCGCCGGTTCTCACCAACCAGCAGTAATGCGCACACCTTGAGCTTACACAATCAAACAATTCGGGCCTCCAAAATGAGTTCAGATCTCTGATGTGATCAAGGCCTCCGCATTGTCCACCATTTAGGCCTCTGATTCGACCAACGTCAAGGCCTCCGTCTTGATCACCGGGCGAGCATGTGACTCGTGCGACGTCAAGGCTACCGATTCATCCAGCATTCAGATCTTCGAAGTGTCTGCGGTTTAGATCACCGATTTGTGGAGGGTTCAGGCCTCCGTCCACAGTTCTGACCTCCAAGGTGACCAACGTTAAGATCTCTGACTCGACCACCATTAAGACGTCGGGTCCGATTAGGGCCGAGACCGTAAGGAGTCACTTAAGTATTGAAACCTTACATGAAATTGATGATCTTCTACTAGGAGGTACACCAGCTCAAAGATTCATCGTATTGGCCTTCGGGTAGATGTTACATGTATACTCAATTGTTTTTCGTCATTGGATCAGTAGCTAACCACTTGTCCATGCTGATGAGATGACCTTGGCACGTGTTTCGCAGGCATCGTGAGGGTTGAGGGTTTCCGAAGTACTTCAAGTTAGCCTGTCTGACGTGTCTCCAGGTACATTCATCTTAGTTGGTGCTCAGAGCTTAGCCTACCTGGAGCCTCGCCTCATCCATTCTTGTAGCCCCTCAGATCAGCTAGGCCAATAATCGTTTGACTCTAGATGAAAACACCAACTTTCTGGCCTGGCGCACACTCTGGACAATCAAACACTGTTTCCGGACAACATTATCATATTCCTGGCAATATACATCAGCACTGACTTGTTGACAGCGGGGAAGATAAATGAATCGCTTATTCTTCCCTCTCATTTAATTTTTGAGACCGAAATTCTATTGAACAGCTATTAAAAACGCATCACAAGATCGCTCAGTCTTTGGAAAGCTCTACGTATTTATCATTCCTGCAACAAGCTATCGGACCTCGATGAAGATTTACGCTCCTCATCATCGAACCGAGCCCAGTTTGTGCGTAAGTCTTTTGGGAATCGATGAAATTTGCGCTTCCATGATTCCTGACTGTACTTACATTTACATCATCGTGTTGAAAATTCGCCCAGTATACATCGATAGATCTTCCTCAATCAACTCTTCATTTGAACTTCGATAAGTCAGTTCTGAGTTCAGGTTACACCAGACCAGAACGTGAACAAATGTAAACCAGAGACACTTGACACATTTCGAAGGGAAACCATCGATCAGCGACGATTAGCGTACATGACCCCATTGAGTGAACCAAGCCGTAGCTAAATAAAAAGGCCATTCGTATTGAAAAGACAACGGAACATTCTACGTCCGTTCTACGTCTAGAACATTGTCTTGAACTTGCGTAGCCTATACACAAGTAGTCGAACATCAGCTCAATTGAGATCAAACTTCACAGAAAATTTCATCTATACAGGGGAGTAAGGACCACCGAGGACATCGATTGATTGGTTTATAATTGAAACTGCGTTGATAAGGCATCGCGAGACGTTATCGCTCATCTGCTGGACCATCTTAATACTCAACGTGCCCACGGAATCAGACACGTTGATGAGGAATCATGAAGATTGTCTTCCAAACTAGTACCAACCGGTATCTTCAACGGACTATGATTAGAGGATCACTAAACCGCCAACAGAAACTTCTACTCATCAAAGGAACCTATGCTCAGCGAAGAGACTTCTGTCCAGCAAATGAACCTCCGTCCAGCGATCAAACCAATATTGCGTGTCACATAATCGTACTGCCCATTTTGACCAGCGACCAACAAAGACTTCATTAGATTATCAGGTCCTACGCATCAATTAGATCAGTCATCATCGTCTGACTAAGTTTGACCATGGGTCCACCAACTTCGAAGGAATTCGCGACTCCGACGGATTCGACTCCGACGGCACTCATACTTGGTCAGTGTCAATGACTAGTGGTATAATATATTGTAACGAACATGTGGGGATGTTCGTTAGGAACACTAAAAACGATCTGGAAACAGCGAGACTCCTACAACGTTGAATTGAAATCCGTGAGTAAGAATCCTAGAGCGAGAGAGTGAGAGTCCCTCATCCACTTCCGAGTGGCTTATTTCTGGTTGGAGTTATCGGTTCCGTTTATTGATAAAGACTAGTAATTACGCGTCTTTGAGGGCCCAGAAAAATTATCGTGAAAAAGGGCCAAAATTATAGAGTCATCCGGTTGTGTTTATGGGGTTCACCCTATTGTTAATCTTGCGGGTAATCGATTAGGTCCGGCTGAAATGCCGGCGCTCCGATTTCATTGGATTTTCAGGGGTTAATTGGTTACATTTTTTGTTCTGGGTGGAAGGTCGTTTGGAGCGAGTGCAACCATCGTCTTCAACGAATCGCCAGGTTGCCTTTGGGTTTCGATGAGAAAAATGAGCTGAGAATGAATTAATAGTGAAGTAATAGCAAGTGCCGGTCACCTGTCTTTTAACCCCGAAAATCCCGGAGATCCGATCCGTGGGAAGCGCTAAAGACCCTTAGTAATTATCCGAACGACAATCAGTTCGGCCTAGTCTCGCGTAATAATTAGTAAAAAGGAACTAGTTTTGTGTTAGATGATTAGTAAAGAGTTAGATGAGATTTGAATAATCGCGCCAGGTCGTGAGAGTCATGATTAATTGTCGTTAGATTCGCACTTTCGAGGGGCGTGTCCGCACCAATCAAAATTCGGGTGATTGAGCGGTGAATTCCGCGCTCTGAGCTGTCTCGAGACGCTCCTGAGTTCGGCACTTCGGCGTTGGCCCTTGACCTCATCGGAAATAGTGCCAGTACAGTGCC